TAGGGTTTGGGATTTATAGGCCTTATTAAGGGTTTAGGGTTTAGGGTTTGGGGTTTGGGATTTAGGCCTTATTAAGGGTTTAGGGTTTAGGGTTTGGGATTTATAGGCCTTATTAAGGGGTTTAGGGTTTAGGGTTTAGGGTTTGGGATTTAGGCCTTATTAGGGGTTTAGGGTTTAGGGTTTAGGGTTTGGGATATAGGCCTTAAGGGTTTAGGGCTTTAGAAGCACCTGACACTTCATGCCGAGCTCTGCCCCGAGATCAACCTTTATCGTCTTACAATCCACCAATGCGCGGACCTGAGCTTCGGACGCTCGCTTCACACACATGAATAGTTCTCTAAATTAGGTTTTTTTAGTTTAGGTCTCCAGTATAGCACAGCACCCTTACAAAAGGGACCCTACAAGTAAAAGGTACCCCAATTTAGAGAACTATCCATATGGCAAACCCACATCATTTGTTTTCTTGTCGCACGAGAGTGCAAGTGAAAGTACATGTAGCAGCAACACTACAGGTAAACGGCAACAGCTAACTCAAAGCTGGAACCATAACCGAATCAGTAACAGTCGTGAGCAAAAATGATAGTAGCTCATTATCATACTACTCTGTGGCCATCAGTCGAACACATGTACTGTCAGTGCACTCGTGACATCAACTCAATAAGACAACATGAGTCAACATCCCGAATGTCATCTTCGAGGACGTGTGCCCACTCCTGGATACCGAAGAGGGAACACTCCCAGAGACCGCCGGAATACTTCCCGGTGCCGGTGAAGATAATCCGCCGCTCTGAGTCATCCCCTTAGCATGCAGGACCCTCGTGCAGCCTGGTGCCAGAACGGATCTATCGTCTAGTCCGAGCCTTAAAACCCCAAGCAAGAGAATCCTCTCAGACAAGTATGGATGCGCCTGTAGAGCGAGTCGGCACACATGTCAATCAAGCAAAGCGCCCTGGTGTGTCCAACCCGCCGAACTGGCAATTTGGCTCGGGCTCACACCCTCACCGGGAATGTAGATCGCTCGCGAGACAGATGTCACGATGACCTGCAATGATCTGCAATGCAGAGCTAAAGAACACAAGTGACAAGCCATGCCCAGGGAGTTCAGATTTGGGGAGCAGCGGTGCCTTTGCCAAACTCCAGGTTTACGTTCACGGGCCTCCTTCTGCCCCTCGCCGTCCTCGTCCTCGTCTTTTGCCTTCTGCTCCTTCTCCTTTCGTGGCATGAACAAGTCTGAGACTCCGCAACGAGCCCAGTCAGACTCAAGAACTTCGCTGGAGCAACAAAACACGCTTGTGCCCTTGGAGTGGCCACTCCATATGTCGCAACTCATGTGGACACAGAGGGATTTGACGCTCCTGCTTCGAGGATCCGGGCTCTTAAATCCTGAAGTCACAGCTCGGGCCTTCTTCTTTTTCTTCTTCTTTTTCTTGCCCTCCTCGTCCACGTCTGCCTGGCGAGGCGAGCAATCGCTTCAAAAGGACTACCACTGACAAGGCTCTCTCGACAGCGCGCCCACTGGAAAACTCCGCGGCTTGTCGAAAGGGTTCCGCCCCCATCCAATCCAAAAAATTCAAGACCCTCGTCCTATCCCAACACGATCAAAATCAAAGGCACGAACCAGCCTCACCCTCCGTCTCTGCTGGCTGCTCCTTCGGCCACTTTGCTTTTGGAGTTGTGATCATATCACCATTATCATTGAAGTTATCACAAGCCGATCAGCTCGCTGATCAGCATCTGTAGGAGCCGTCGCCAACACTAGCAGCTTTTGCTATTGTACAGTAGCGACAGCAGCATATTTGGCACATACTCATCGAGCCCAGAACCCAAGTCCTTCGACCCTAGGCTCAGCCCTTAGACCGAAGCTTGAGAAGCCCATGCTCCGCCTCATTCCGAGGTCTTCAAAGACAGCCGGAAACCTTCCGAAGCCCTGAGCCATACTGCCGTAGTCATTCGCGGCTATATAACAGTAGGCTGCATAGACGTAGGATCTGCGACAATGCAAAACTAATCCTACAGGGTTTCGCAAGAACGCGCAAGATCAAGCAAGAAAGTTCGAAAGGTGCCTAGTGCTGCTGAAGCACGCTAGGGACTGCTATGAGCTCATACCATGATCCACCCACTACAAAAGCTGTGCGCTATGATTAACAATACCAACTGAAACGTTGGTCCCTCGTAGCCCCCTCAGCCGAAACTGCAAATCCGCAAACCCAAAACCCCTGAACCGCTGAACCCTGAACCCCAGACCTAGACCTCTAAATCCCCAAAACCCCAACACCAAGCCCTACCAAGGCCCTACCCATAGGCTCCTAAGTAGTTCCCTCTTGTGGCTTTTTGGTTTAGAATCCTATAAGCTAATCCCAAAAAGGAACTCTTTTAGGAGCCTATGGTAGGGCCTCCGCAGTGGGCGAGGCTTCGCCGTCCCCTTCGCCTTCGGGGGCCTCCTCGGCGTCCTCCTCGTCTTTAGGGCTTTGAAGGCTTTGGGGCTTGAGGGCTTTGGGGTTTTAAGGTTTAGGGCTTTTAGGATTTGGGGTTTTAAGGTTTAGGGCTTTTAGGTTTTATAGGGCTTTGGGGTTTAGGGTCTTAGGCTTTTGGAGTGTTGGGGATGTTGAGCTTGGGGCCTGGGGAGATGTGCGAGGGAAAACGTTGAGGCCTTGGGATTTAAGGCTTTTGATCTAGGCCCCGGGCTTCGGGGTTTGAGGCCGAGGGATCGACTGAGCTTGCGTTATGCCATCGCTTCAGGAAACATGGACCACGGCCTTGCAGGGCTTCGCTCGCCTGCCCGCAGGACGACCAACGCCAAGGAAACTACGGCCAAGGCCAATGTCGGTTTCTGAATATATTTCCGGCTCGGTCAACCCCACCGAAGAACCCCAGACGTGTCGTGTGGAGGAGCCTCGTCCTCTTCCTCATCGTCAGAACTCAGCCAAGTTGAGCTTTAAACACACCCGGCCCCAGACTCTGAGATTGGTGCTGCCCGCATGAGAGAGCGCATGTTGCTTCTATGGCATGCGGAGAAAGGGAGCTGGGCACAATCGTCTTTCCGTTCGCTGCAGCTACGTAGCAGATGTGGGGCAGGAAGGTTCCTCTATGCCACGCAGCCCCTGCGTTCTGACCCAGGGACCCTCGCAATCCCTCGCAGCATGCCGAAGTTGAACCGAACTGGAAGTGTTGGTCTGAGTGCTGAACTCTTCGATCTCAGGGACATCCGGCATGACGGAGATGTAGTTCACCGAAATGTCGTACCTCGTGCACAAGGTCGCACCCTTCAGGACATTGCAGTTTGACTTTAAATTGTAAAGCTTACATCCGATCCAAACAGAACCGAAAGTCTAGGACCATCCCAGCGGAAATCGCCCTCCCGCAGATGCCGCACGACTCCGTGTTGTCGACCGACTCCGGTATCGGACTCTTGAGGACCAGCAGAGATCCTTTGGAGGGCTTTCTGGCTCTAAAGCTTCCAGAACCTAACCACTGAGGTCCGCAGGCCTGAGCAGGGGTTTATAAATGAGGCTGGGCTGGAGTTTGCCTTTGGATTCATCCTTGTGTCGGACTCCTTTCTTTTGATCTAGGCACCAGGACGGGCGTCATTTTTGGGCGCGAGGTGGGCTTAGGGTTCATAAAGCAGCAGAATCACGGGAGCGTGGGACTTCGAAAATTTGTGCTACCGAAAAAAGTAACCACCTGCGTGGTTTGACCAAGGTCCGGGCCGTCGCCCAAGCTGAGGAGGACATTGCCTCTCCGTGGAAGCGAACAAGTGGGAGACGGGAAGTTGTGCCAAGACTGAGCCGGAACACTCAAAGTCGACCTCGCCCCGCCTGAGGTGTCATCCCAAGCGAAGAAGTTCACGGTAGATGGGATCGACACAAATCCAACAGGGATGGCCTCAGATGAGGGTTTGAAGTTCCTCAGGCTCTGCTGGGTGTGGTATGGGCGTCTCCAATTAAAGCCTCGTACTGGGCGTAGGGCTTGGATAGCAGTCACGGATGGTCAAGGGGCTTGTACCCCTCCAAAACACCTACACCTAGCACGCGACCCGTTTGTGGCTTAAGGGGACATCGTGACTGACATGATGGGTTCTATCTGTGTGCAATCGGTGTCCGTTCTTGTGGCGGCAGGATCCGCTTGCAGCCGTTCCTGTTCAACCCCAAACCCAGCCACAGACACAAGCGCCCTAAACCCCTGAACACCTCGATCAATCCTAAACCCTTCGAGCAGTCGTGCCCGAGGTCGCCACATGCTCCGAGAGCATCTGCACCTGGAAGAAGAACACCGAGTTGTCCTGGCTGCAACAGCTCAAGAACGCTCGGTTCAACCCCTCGCAAGCGCCGCCGGTACTTGGCTATCCAAATCCAAGTGTCTCGCTGCTGCATGTCACTTGGTCACGTGATTTCAGGTAGGTGGGCCTCTCCAAGTGTTGCCATCAAGCCCGCATCTTCCCCACTGTACCTCGTAGGAGGGCTCTGAGATCTTTCAAGATCAGAGGCAAAAGCTACGGAACAGAATTTTCGCTCGCAAGTCTTCAGTTGCGGTTGCCAAAGACATCTCACTCAATGACAGCGCAGGATTCAGCTTTTTTTTCTACTGGTAGCGGACCTCCCAGTCCAAGCATAGATTGCAGCCCTGCCTCTGAAATGCACGGGCTTTCTCAGGACGCCACTTGAGCTGCTTCACCATGCACTTGTGCGGCTTCAGTGCCTTCGAGCCACAGCATCTCTCTACCCGTCACAAAACCCTAAAGCCCCGACCCCAAAAACTAGCAAAAAAAGCCAAAACCTGGACACCGTGCTTGAACCCTAAATCCCTCGAAGAAGACAATTGAACCCTAAACCTGAACACCCACGCCCACACCCCAACCAACCCCAACCCCAGCCCTCCCCGGAAAAATTGAAACTCGAACTCCCCTCACCACACCCTATGAACACCCCGAAATGCTTGGCCGCTCCGAGACATTTTCGAGCGCCTGGAGTTGCAGGAAGCCGTCAGCGCAGGCGGTAAAGGCACGGATGGTGCCATCCTGCATAGTTTCTTGCGAATACAGCTTCCTTAGCGACCGCAACCCTCTCCGGGTGGCTCGTCATTTGTTCGAGAAAGGACTCAACATCAGACTAAGAGATGACAGCTTCGCGTGGCGGCCAACAGATCCAAGAACCCAACGGTGTAGCCGACGCAAACGGTCCGCTTGGATGGGTCGACCTTCGACAGTATCTGCCCCGGCGCTCTTTGCGATCATGCGCTGAAACATCTGCGGCTCTCACCCTAAACCCGAAACCCCGAACCCCGAAACCCTAAACCCAAACCCACTTAGTTCTTGGATGCTAGAATACAAGTGGCCAATCGACTGGGCTCCCCACAAGCTCTGGGGTCGCGTCGATGCCTTTCAAGTTCAGGATGTGTACAAATACCGGTTCGGGCCCCGCAAGAACAACGACAGACCTGGTGTGCATCAATCCCTGTATGCGTGTGTGTGTGTGTGTGTATGTGTATGTATATATATATATAAATCAAAAGAAACGGGCTTTTGCTGTGCTCAAGCCGGCTGTCAAGCGAGCGGTCTGCATATGGAACATGTGTTCAGGAACCCTTGCACAATTAAACTCCGCTTTGCGCTCTGGGAGTTTCTGTACTCAAGGGCCGCAAAAGGCGCATGGCAGAAGTTTCTGCCCCCTTGGGAATATATGCATGTGCCACGATGATAGCGTTTGCCATCGCGGGTCACCCAGACAGCACGGTCTGCTGTCTCTGCAAGTCGAACGGATCGAGGTGGTGCCGTCGATGAGGTAGTCGCCGTAAAGTCGTCGAATCCTGTAGTCACCGGTGCTGGCGCTGTTGTAGTCGAGGACGTCGGTGTCCTTGTGGTAGGCGGTGAAGACGATGTTGGTGCCGTAGACGAAGTCGTTGTGGTAGGCGTCGAGGTTCTCATAATCCAGCGATCACACAAGATAGCCAGTGAAGCGGAGGCTGTCGCAATCAGCACCACAATCATGATGAGTGCGATGTCGGAGTTGTCGAGTGTAGGTGCTCGAAGAGGTTGAGCTGTGCTTGGCGTAGCGCATAAGAAGAGGGCTGCAAGACCAAGCCATCCTCTTGAAGCCATGTACATAGCTGGTACAGGTTGCCATGTTCGTCCTTTTCGTAGAGACTCGTCACCGGCAATCAAGTCGTCCTCGTCGAAGGTAGTAGACGGTGGAGGCAATCTCTTCATCTCCAGAGGGTGCCCACAGTTCCAGAAGCGTATCGTTCCGGTAGACAACCAGTGCATCAAGCACGGGCTCACCATGGTTTTAGTGAGCGCGTCCGCAGTCATGCATTCTGTAGGCGTCAGTATGACCCAGCGGAGGCGACCGCTGGCTCGTGCTTCTCTGTGGGCCATGATGTACAGGCGCTGCGACTTATCCTGAGGAAGCGTGCGCACCCCAGTGGACAACTCATAGAAGTCCCTGCAGTCGGTGTGCGCATCAACCGGGAAGTAGGAGCTCCCAGTTTCCTGAATCGCCAAAAGCTCTTGCAGCGAAGGTTGCTTGCCACCATAAGTAATCTCCGCAAGTCGAGTGGAGACCAGAGTAGCTGCCTCCAGTCCAGCAATAGCCGCGAGGGTCTCGCCATGGCTTGTGCTGTAGCTTACTCTCTTGGCCTTTGTTGACTGCACATGAAGAAGTTGAGCTCGGCCAGAAAGGGCGTTCGCCGCGAAGTTGTCGTTGCAAACGATGTGCTCGCTGTGGATGTCGACGGTGTCGGACATCAGAACGATGAGAACACCTTCTTGGGCGTAGTTCCGAGTAGCTGAGGCCGCGGAGGCATCATGGATGCAGACGATTCTGTAGCCAGCCGAGCGAGGAAGAGCTCGGTAGTAGATAGCTGCATCCTTGTCCTCCTTCGCACGAAGAATAAGTTCATTCGCCGCACGAAGGTGTTTGACCTTGGCTTTCGTAACTGCCGATTGTAGTGAAGAAAGTTCTGCCAGAACATCTGGGCGCGTCAGCGAGGTCCACATGAGGCCGCCAACAATTGACCTCAATGTTGTGACTTCCACTGGAGTGAGGTCTCGGTCGTCGTTGTCCGCCTTGTCGAGTTCCGCAGGCTGGAGCATCTCGACATAGTCCCGCTGGTCCACCTTGAAGCCATCGGACGTGCGGGAGTACTTGCAGCCGCAGTGCATGAACGGAAGCTTCTGGCGAGTGAGCTTGCCGAACTTCTTCACCATGAGCTCAAATGTGTTGTCCAGCCATGTTCTCTTCCCACGGGCTGCCAGGTCGTCGACGTGAGTCGTCAAAGAAGACGTTGGCCATCGTCCAGGCTTTGGTGCAGCCCAATACCAAAAGCATTCGTCGAAGTGCGACTGTATGCCCCCAAGTTCCTTCAAGAACCTGTGGAGGAAGAGTTGCCAGGCGAGGGGAGCCTCGCTCAGTCCATACACTGGTTTAAGGCAAAGTAGCACCCAGTTAGCCAGGTCATTCTCAGGGACGGCAAACTTCTTTGAAAGTCGACGTAGGTGTCGCCATACGTTGTGAGGAGGAACAATGGCAATCAAGCGTTCCACGGTGTGAAGGCCAAGCTCCTTCAAACACTTCCAAAGTTCCTTGTAGGTGAGGCCTTTCAAGAAAGCCCCTGCCACGTCCCAGCTCTCCACGTCATCATCGTCATTGGCTGCTGTGACCAGAATGAGGCGCTGGGACAGTCGAGTGGCTGTGGAGGACCGGTTGTTCATCGCAGACTTCCAGGGATCATGGCATCCACGCACGCACATCCTTGACTTCACAACCCGTTTAAGGTCTGCACCACGTTTCCACTTGCGAACCCAGATGCCATCGATCACTGCACAGTTGGCCGGAAGGTCCACCAACTTCTTCGGCTCAAAGGCATCCTCAGCCACAAATTGGGCGATCTCCTTGGCATCCGCCTCTTCCACTTGAGGCCAAATGTCGTACACCTGGTCCTCTTCGATGTTATCGGTCGTGGAGTCGACCCTGACGATGTTGCCGGTGGCGTGCCATCCAGCGGACTTCATATAGAAGAGCTCGCGACGGTAGTCCGGTACTGTGTTGTAGTTCATGTCGTGGGACGCGTCGCTGGCTTCTTCAGGAATCCTGGTCTTCCAGGTGTTGCGGTGCATGTAGAGGAATTGGTCGCCCATGAACTCGGAGACGGGAAGTGTGGCTGTGAGGATCCTCTGCTTCTTAGACTCTGGACCCAAGGTCACTGTCCGAGTCTCTGGCCCATCGCGTTTCTGAGGTGGCTGTCGAGAGTCGCCATCTTCCTCCATTGAAATGGGCACCACAGGAGACTCTTCCAGAGGAAGACCTTTTGGGCGCCATGTGTCAGGCGTGGACTCGATGAAGTCTGGAGCATAGCTGTAGAAGTAGATGTAGCACATGTCCTCTCGTCCCGCAATCCTGAAAGGAACCGTTGACATCGTAGTTCCCTTCGGGTTGTCTGCAATAGACATCTTCATCGTCCTTCGCCGCCATGCAACCAGAGTTCCAGTCGTGCCTTGGTGAGGATGGATCTTCTTCACTCCAACTGCAACTTGTACACCATGGCATTCCTTGTCCGTGAGGAACTTCGAGGCCAGTACAATGTCGTCGTAGATCTCGTCCTGCTGCTGTGTGGCCATGGTCTTCGGTATCCGCGTCCAGGTACCGGACGAGTTCTTGAGGTAGCCGAAGGAATCGACACGGAAAGGCACAGTAGCCTCGGTACTTTGCATTAGCCGTCGAAGTGCTGTCCAGGAGTCAAGTTCCTGGGACCGGAGGTTAGCCTCTGCTGAGTCGAGATTGTAGTGGCTGTGGTAGACGCCGCGGAAAGATCGGAGGTTCCGTAGGGGTATCAAGTAAGGTCGTCCTTGGTACTCCACAATCGCCGAGCCATTGACCTGGAGTTTGAGAAGAAGAGCAGGCCCGCGCCAGCCGAATCCATCCGCATCTTCTCGATGAAACTCGACCTCCGAGACACCAGATTTAAGGTCCTCCAAGGGAGCTCGTTGAGGTCGCGTGTGGCTTGCCCTGGCGATCCTGCTCTCCATGATTGACTGCGTCGCTGCCGTCAGTGCTAGTTGTCGAAGGCGTAGAGCACGCTCATAAACGGATGCGCTCACCTGGCTCGCCCCAGATATGGCCTGGATACCCGGGGCGTCGATGTCGTAGAAGGGCATAGGAAGCGAGCCGGTGACCATCATGTGCGGGGTGTAGCCGCCGACGTTCAGAGTGGCATTCTGGGCAAAACTTGCCTCGGCAGCGATGTCACCGTAGTCAATGTCCATGCCTTGTCGCTCAGCTTCCGCACGCAACTTCATCATCGTAATCTTGGCCAGGTCGGTGTGCTTCTCAACGACGCCAGTTGTGGTGTGTTGACCTTGGGCGCCTCCACGAGTGGTGCCTGCTGGTGATCGATCGATGCTGAGCCTTTCGAACTCAGCTGCTGCCTCGTGGGACATGAGGCAGGACTCTTGATCTGAGACTAGCACCTTCATGGGGCCGAAAAACCTCAACCAGTTTTGTAGTAGAGCTCGTAGTGCTGTCTGTAGGTCACGTCCTGGGACCTGTACAATGGTCTTGTACCTTGTGGCCACATCGACGATCATCATGAACCAATGGTCCCAGAGGCGGAAGTAGTCGACCTGGACCTCCCCATTGAAAGAGGTCGGGTGGTCGGCTCGCACCTTTGGTCGGCTCTTGAGTCGACTGAACTTCCGGCAAACACCACAAGCCGCGATGGTCTCGGGAACAAGCTTGACGACCTCTGCGGGCATACCCGCGCGACTGAGCATGGTCTGGAGGTCGCTGCAGTTGGCGTGCCAAAACCTTTCGTGAAGTCCGAGCAGTAGACGCTTGGCTTGTTGCGGATCGTCACGGGCCAAGCGAGGAAGCCGAACCAATACACGTCGAAAGTCGAAGTTGGCACGCTTGGGAGGATCGATGGCTTGTCCCTCGTCGATATCCTCTCCTTGAGTAGCTTGTTCTTCGCGATCCATCGCCGACTCTTGCTCCTCCGAGATCCTCACCACAGGGTCATCCTCACGTGGATCTTCTTCGCGGACGAGGATCTCGAATTCAGAGGTGCCGGTCCATCGGCCTTGCTCGATGGCAGCACGAGAACTATCTCTCGTGGTCCACTCATCCTTTATCACAACCTTTGGGCCAGGCTTGTCATAGGGTGTTGCCACCGTCGTTCTTGATGAGGCGAGTTCCTCCATTGAA